CAGCGTCTATGGCAGAGAAAAATTGTTTTGATGTGACAAAATTAATTTCTCAAATCAATGTTCGTTGACATCATAAGAAACAAACACACAGTACACCACAAACTGTACTAAAATTCTGCTGTTTCTGAGGAGGGACATGTCTTGACTGCTTACGGTTTTTATCTGGTCGTAAGCTTGGCCACTATGCAGATCAAGAGCTTTTGAAATCCCTTTTCCAAAATAAAACTCCGGACTTGAGCTTAAAATATATATTGATCCAAGTTCATTACCAGCAGGGTCAGCAATAAGAATAAAGAAAAAAAACAAAAAGAAAAATAGTGTTTAAAAAAAGAGACCAAAAACGATACAAAGAAACAGAAAACAGCGTCGACGGGAGTCGAACCCGGTTGATCTGCACGTTCAAGCAACTCCTTGACCACTGCACCACAGTGATACATTTCAACTTAGACTTTCCTCGTCTCCTTTGTGAACTGCAAAACAGTAATTCTTCGAAAAACGAACATTGTAAAAATTTCCTGGAAGAACTGCAATCTCTTTTTCCTTTACTTCGTCCATAGAGGAATTGATGATTGTCGCTTGAAAGATCTTGAAAACTTTGATCTCACTTGTCTGGTTTTCCCGCCAGATTACGAAAATTTGACATAAGTAAATAAGGTTAGGAGTCGACCGGAAGTTCCGACAGGAAGATCGATCATTTAACCGGAATTCTCTCTTCATTTTGCCAAACTACCGCTGACTTGTTAATCGAACGCCGAAAACTCACCCTCCCTCTACGCCCGTGGAAAATTGTCTCCCCTTTATAATACGCATTAAGCAAGAGGAAGTGCAGTAAAAATCGGATTTCCGATGACTTTGACAAGCGGCGCATTTCTCAACCAAAAACCAATATACAAACCAGTCACGAATAACTTAAGAATCTTGCTAGCAGCTGTTTTTCATTTTGCGCATCCAGTAGAAAAAGACAGTTAAAAGCTTCACAACGTTACGCAAAACTCTGTTAGTTTCAGCTATCAGTCAACAAGTTTCGAAGGGCAAAATGCTGCATAAAATTTCCACATGAACTCACCTGTCAACTTTTGACCAATCAGAACAAAAAAATTGGACGTACAGTACTGTGCAAAAGAAAGGCAAACGAAATTCGGTGTTTTTCGTTCTTTGTTCTCGCGAAAATTCGACGAAATTTCGTCAAAGCGCTCGCAAATTTTCGTCAAGTCAAACGAAATTTCGTTGTCATCTTGGCGAAATTTCGCATCCACTGAAGCGAAATTTCGTCAGAGTGAAAATCGCAACTGCGAAATCTCGCAATAGCGAAAATTCGCGCTCGCGAAATTTCGCCAGGGCGAAAATTCGCAGCTGCGAAATTTCCACAAAGCGAAATTTTGGTGGCAGTGGAGGAGGGTTGTAATAAGAACCTTTTGTTCGGACCGCTTTAAATCATTAGCCCGAGTAATTTATTTAGTTTAGACTTGAGTCGCACGCGCGGCTTTAGAGGTGAGAGTTTTCACGTAAGTCAAAAGTATTGTCAAAAGCAAAGTTGTTTTTTTATTCGGCGGGATATTTCATTTGGGTCTGAAAGTTAAAATATTAACCTGTTTTCAGTTATTATCGTCTCAATACCCTAAACCATCAGTTCGAATAACGAATAAGCTAATTCTCACAGCAAATCAATTAATTCAACTATCTGGTTTACGATCATCGCACGCGCGGCTTTATAGGTGACACTTAGCATTTATTGCAAGGTTGCATTGTTCACTGATACTGGGCGGGTTAGGTTCATTTGGCTCTCTTGTAATTAAAATAATATCCCGTTTCCAGTTATTCTGGTCTAAATACCCTAAACCATATAGCCCAAATGACAAATAAACTTAACTGAGTTCTCAAAGTAGTTTATTGTACTTTAGACTTCAGTCGCACGCGCGGCGTAAGAGGTGAGGCTTTTCATGTACGTCAAAAGCAAATTGTTTATTAATAACCTGGAAATTTCATTCGGCTCAAAGATAAAATAAGTCCGAATAACCAATAAACTAATCCTCACAGAAAGGCTAATAATTATTGATTGCACTATCTGGTTTACGGTGATCGCACAGTAGTGTACTATGTTGAAAGCACGTACGCGAGTGAAAGCATTTGTTGCAAATGTCTCGATCTTTTGGGTCTAAAAACTGATCGCTTAGCTTAGTGCATTTGCCTCGCGAAAGTCATCGATAAAGGAAGATAATTAGCTTACATGTACGCCACACAGAATACACTGTAGTTTGACGATCTTCTTTTATCACCGTACAGAAGCGGCGCAGGCGAACCGAATTAAAATAAGACAAATCTGTAACAAGAATGTTTTGTTCTTTATTTATTCTACATTAAGCTTTATTATAAAGTGTATCAGCATGCAATAGATAACTTCAAGCTAATGGCAGAAATAAATGTATTAGCTAGCGAGACGTTTAAAACAAAATTATGTTGAGAGAGAAGTAAAAAAAATGTTACGAGTCAAAAAGCACCGTTCTGCCTCAAAACCTCTCCACAACTGTAGCAATCGTTGCGATGTTTCTTTTTGCAATAATGATCACGTTTACATGTACCTGTACTTTTGCATGAGGTGATGATTACAGTTATTCTGTAGTCAGCTACAAATTCTTGAAAGACGAAATCTCGTCTCGTGAAAGCGAAATTGCGTATCGTCCAAACGATATTTCGTTTCGCCGAAACGAAATTTCGCTTCGTCGAAGCGAAACTTCGTTCTAATGGCACGAAATTTCGTCCAACGAGCACGAAATTTCGCATCGAAATTTTGCCTCATGCCGCGAAATTTCGTTTCGATTAATCACCCTGCTTGCGAAATTTCGCCGACATGAGAACAATAGAAGCACCGAAATTTCGCCGCTTTTTCGTCTGAAGCGAAAGTTCGCAATTTGATTGCCGAAATTCGCGTAATTTCGCTTATTCGGCAAATTTCGTTTGCATTTCTTTTGCACAGTACTGTAGAGCGTGACAAACGCGTCACCATGGTGAGAAAGGTCAAAAGCAACTTCCCTGTCTGTAAAAGCTGGCTGAATTCTCACATCCGAGGTCCGTTTGAAATTAAACGTTCAATAGTGCGGTTCATAAACACAACTCCCTATTGAACTTGAGCCTACTATCATTTGAAAAGTAGTAACTTGTCAGCGGATAACTTCAAAAAAACTCGAACTCAGTGGGCTGAACGCTGAGCCCACGATACGGTCAGGTGATGATGATCAGCGGATGCTGTAGTTTGACAGAGCTGTCAATTGATTGAACTTCATTACAATGGCGAATTTTCGAATAAACGGACTGTTGACTGCGAGTGTTAGTAAGACATTTCACTCTAGGTTGTAATGGAGGATTAATGGGGCGAAGTGTCAGATCGTGTATTTGAGCCAACGTTGTTAGTGATCTGATAGTGGTCTTCACATGTCCCATTTTGACAGCTGTCGATTGACCTTAATTTGGCTAGCGCGTACAACTTTAAACTTCTGGGAGCCAACTGAGCCCTGCTCTTCATACCTTTCTTCGTCAAATGCCGTAACATAATTTTACTCACAGTATTGACACCGCATAAGAAATAAAATCAGTCATCTGTACAGTTTTTTCCATGTTTAACGTTGTCTTGGCACAGGTTGATTATTTTCAGGATATATGCATACGCAGACAATAACCAGTTATATATCTCATTTAAGTCTGGATGACGGCTGACAAACTTAAGCTAAATGATGACAAAACGGAATTAATTGTAATCGGAACCCGCGCAGTTGGATAAGATAAGCTCAGTATTGATCATGTGAAAGTGTCTGCAGTATGCAACGTTCGGAACCGAGGGACGTGGTTCAACAACCATCTGAGCATAAAGACCGCCATCAACAAGACTTGTCAATCGGGACTTTATCATCTGCATAGTATGGGGCGCATCAAAAGATTTCTTAGCTCTGAAGATGGAAAGTCGATTGTTCAGGCAATAGTGGTGTCGAGAATAGACTATTGCAATAGCCTACTGTATGGTGTTGCCGTTACAAACCTTAGCAAGCTCCAACGGGTGCAAAACGCGGCAGTCCGATTGGTGTGCTTATTGTGATGTGAAGTAAAGTAAATTAAAGTAAAGTAAAAGCTTTATTAATGTGTCAATGTATTTAGTTTTCACCATTTATAGGGGACACAAAAATAAAAATTATTTGCAAATAAGAAATTGTAATAATAATAATGTATGTACAAATAAAAAATGTGGCATGTATATATTGTATAATAAAACAATAGGTATATAAAAGGTAGTCTCTAAGAATTGCAAAGGTTACAGCAGCTATTGTTGTTGTTTAAGACTGACGTTAGGTCTTTTTTCCTAATGTTCTTTTTGAAAGATTCAGTATTCGAGGAGCCTTTCAAGACATGAACACGTCACATCGTCATTTATATGTCTTCACTGGCTGCTGATTAAGTTTAGAATCAATTTCAAGATTGCTATGCTCTGTTTCAAGTGCATTCATGGACACGCCCCCAGTTATCTAAAAATCATATATAGTCGCCATCAAGAAGACTTCGATGTACAGTAAATCCCGCGCATAAGAACCTAGAATTTTGGAGTTCAGGCTGAACAGGTCCTTATATTTTGGGGTATTTTTTCCAATAACAAGCTGATTAGGTTCTTAGTAGGTTCTTATTTGCGAAAGTTATTATAGTGATAGCATTCGGGGAACTGCAATAGTATTAATATGCTATAATTGTAAAGCATTTACAAAAATGTCAACAGACCCACGCCACAACATTGGAGGATGTATTTGACATCAAATTGCAACAGAAGGAGAAAAACTTGCCACAGATATATTGGATTCCTAAACTTCACAAGACACCGTATAAGGCAAGACTTATTGCAGGTTCAAGTTCATGCACTACAACTACGCTCTCTAAATTAATTACTGAGTGTTTTAAACTGGTCCGCACCCCTCTGCACCGCTCGATGCAAGACGATTCGAGTAAGGACGGGTGTTAACTGCATGTGGATCATCAATAATTCGTTGGACGTTATCCGTGCACTGGAAGAAAAACAACTTTCCCTAAATCATGTGAGTACTTGGGACTTTTCGACTCTTTATACTAGCCTTCCACACGCCCCACTTAAAAAGCAACTCCATGATCTTTTGGAAAGAGTTTTCAATACTAAAGGAAAGAGCTTCATTGCTACCAATAATTTTCGCACCTTCTGGACGAATGATAGGACGTCAACGAGGTACACGTACTTCTCCTGTAGAGAGCTTTGTCTCGCTATTGACTTTCTTATCGACAACATCTACGTTCGTTTTGCAAGCTTTGTTTTCCGGCAGGTTATTGGTATACCCATGGGCACCAACAGTGCTCCTTTATTGGCTGATCTCTTCCTTCATACCTTCGAGTACGATTTCATGGTCAAAACAATGAAACAGGATATTACAAAAGCCATCCAATTCAGCAACACCTTTCAGTACATCGACGATTTATTCAGTGTTAACAATTTGGACTTTGGAAATTACATCAGCGCAATATACCCGTCGGAATTGGAACTTAAGGACACTTCCACATCATCTACTGAAGTGTGTTATCTCGACACAGAAACCCATAAGGGGTTGAACCCTTATGGGTTTCTGCTCGACACTAATATCAAGACTGGCGACAACACACCTTTCCGTATCAGCATCTACGATAAGAGAAAGGACTTTGCATTTCGGATTGTCAACTTTCCTCATATGGACAGCAACAGTCCCGCCAATCCAGCTTACGGTGTTTATATATCTCAACTGGTGAGATATGCTAGAATTTGCACGTCCAAAGTTGACTTCATAAATAGACTCCGTGGACTTTCATTGCGTCTCAGACAGCAAGGCTTTGAAACCAATCTAGTTCCGAAATCATTAATAAATTCTTCAGTCGCCAAGGTCTTATCATCGAGAAGTATGGTGCAGCCCTGTGGGAGATGAGATTAGCAATCCAGGCTTGAATTGCACCATCGTAACCTTACATTACTTATTTGTTGCTTACTGTTGTATTTCAGTTGTATCTCGGTACGTGTGGGCGTACAATTTTATTTTGAGCGCGCGCATTATTTGTTTATTTATTTAATTGACGTGCATTATTTAATTGACGTGTAATGCACGCATTTTAGGCATCCTACTGATGAACAGATGCGACACCTAGATATATACTTTTTTAGCAACTAATATAATTTGCAGTCTGTCTACTTTGAAGCCTTGTTGTCGAAACAAGTCCTGTATCATGGGCCTGACCATATTTACAGTTGTATGATCACCATGCAAATTTCAACAGGAAAAATACAGTATGCCTGCCTTGTTTACCAATCAGTTCCATGTTGTACAGAACAAAACATGTTTGGTTATTTACAGTATATACAGCTGTGTATGTTGAATAAAAAAAATAAATTTGAGGAAGTAAACAAATGTCAATCTACATTTGATCAAACTAAATGATGTTTTGTACAATGTACATAATTGTCCCTAGAACGTGTAAAGTTCAAGCCCCTGTGGTCTGATTTTCTCATCATCATCTCCATTCGCTGTCATCAAACATCCAGTTTTCTCAAAAAGTTTCTTAACAAAGTGGTTGTCAGAATGTAGCTCCCTCCATGCAGCAGCAGCCCATTTGGTCATCAAGACCCTTCTTGTCTTAGCAGGAATGGTATCATGCCACATTTCCAGATTCTTCTCTTCTTCCAGCCACTTCTCCATCTGTTCGCCTATTTTCTTTTTCATCATTTTTCCGTAACCAGCATCTATTGGCTGTACTTTGTCCGTGTGATTTTCAGGCACCAAATAGACCACAGTTTTGAAATCTCTGCAAACTTCATGGAAGTTCTGTGACCCACTGGTGAAAGTTAAACTTGCCTTTTGTACATCATCATCAATATTATGACCCTAAAATCTCCATTGGGTTTGCCCCCCAAAAATGATTAAACCAAACCTTTTATTGGTTTTCGGGATTTAATTACAGATCAACAGGTGTATACCCAATACAGTATTAAAATGCGGTAAAGCAACAAGATTCAATGCTCACAGTCTCTCACAAATACCTGTCATTTAGCTTCCTCTTTCAAGGTACAGCTAAGCGACCTTTGAGAGGAATGATATGGGGTTCCACTAGCTCTGAAAAGCTGACAATACGAACAATGTAAAGTATAATACATCCTTTAATGAACCTCCTATTGCTGTGTCTAAACTCCTCAATCTTGCTGTGCAATGGCCCACAAAAGTGTGACCGGTCGGTATTATTGCCCGTAAAATTTGCTCGCGATAGAAAGGAACCTTTACCGCACTGGACATTTCATCCCAAAAAAGTACTTAACTCTAGTTTTCTACCACAATATAAACCTTAAAATCTCCAAATCCAAGAAATCCGAACAGTATTTCCGTGATAAAATTGAAATTTTTATCCGTCTCTTCGATGAACACTTTGCTCGCCATTTTGAAAGTCACTGACGCGAGACGTGACGTCATACTGGCAGGCGGACTGCACCACAGATTTCCTTGGAGACGCCTTCCCCCCCTGGTCTAAACATGGTTCAAGTCAATCGAAGAGAGAAGTAATGAGATTGGTCCCTGCTCAGCCTCACTGCGTATCAAAGATCCTAAGCGAAAACTAAGTAAAAAGGTAAATGTAAGCAACCCAACAGCGTAAACTAAAAGTTCAATAAAGGACAAAGGTCCCTGCTCGAACTTAGTGTACACTAGAGAAACTAGACTACGAGACATAACAGTTAAAGCGAAAACAGTGCTCCTTACTGTAACATATTGGTATCAATATATATAAATAATATACTAAGTAAAATGGAGATTGGCCTCCGCGTAAACTCGTTATAAACTAATGATAGTAAACAGAATTAAACCACACGAAGTAAAATGACTGAAAGGCTCACCTTGAAGCAATGAGATTGGCCTCTTCTTATCCTCGTTGCATATCTAAGAGTCTGAACTAAGTAAAAAGGCAACTATCATTAGCTCACAGCGTATAATAAAAGTTCAGTAAACGAGATCGGCTCTTTGCTCGAACTCATTGTACACTATAGAAACTAAACTATCAGACAAGGTGAAAGTGACAACATTGTTCCCTACTGGAATACATTGTAAACATAAGGAAATACACTAAGAAAAATGAGATTGGCACCTGCGCAAAACTAATTATAAACTAAAGATAGCAAACAGAGTTGAGGAGGCTGTAATGAGAAAAGCACGTCTGCAAAAGATTGCATGTGAAACCTGAATCTAAGGGATGAGAGTAAGGCGTTCACTGAGACGGTGGCAGGTGGTCCATTGATGGAAGCGAAGGGGTTATAATGTACTTCATGAAAACATTGGGTTTCCATCGCCTAAAGGGCATAATCTGCGAGTCGGAGAAGCCTTGAGCAGCTGCCCATAAGGCAGCCTCTATTCGGAAACTGTGCGTTTGGTACCGAGAGGTGTTGAGACCGCAAAAATGTGAGTGCCTGATTGAGTGTTGGTCCGTATCTCGTTTCCTTGTAGGAATTTTGGGTAAACTTTCCAAATAGTTTTAAAATACAGTTGATTTGGTGCTGGTGGGTAACATGACTGTGTTAATTGTCCTTAGTCTGTGTAATTTATACAACTTTTTTGCATTTCGTTGACTATTCCAAACATATTATGGCCACGTTTCATGAAATTGATTCGCTGCGATTTGTACATAAGACACTTATGTCTTTAATAGTATTATCGATGTTTTCCGCTTTTTTTGATATAAAGAAAGAAATGAGAAGGGAAAAAATAAAGGAAGCAAGCAAAATCTTAAACAATGTTTCATTTGGGTCTTCTTTTAACAGTCTTAGTAAAACAGTATGCGTGTTATAACAAAGACCTAGGCCAAACGTCGAACTGCCGATAGAAACAAAAGAGCCCACCCCACAGAGATTTTTACAGGGTTACATGTAGTAACTAGAACATCTGTGCAAACTGCTTGCTTAGTCTTCACTTTAAAACCGACGTACTTTTGGAGAAATTTAAGGAAAGAAAATCTTTATTTTATCCATTAACTCAAATGGCCGAATCTCTATGTAGTTTATTGACCACTTGTCATTCAGTTTGAGATAATTAAAAGCGAGGTACATGACCATTACCATTAGTAGTATCATTTTCATGGGCTTCAGAAGCAGAACTTTACATTTTGCACTTTCAAGAACAGTTTTAGAGTGAAATATTAGGTTTGGTACCACCAACAAACATACAGCGATACAATGTCAACAATAAAGTAGCAACCTTGACAAAGTGCATTTTTTGACACCCCCCACAACGTTTAATTACATGCAAAATTTTAGTGGGGTTCTAAATTATTCGTTTCCCGCGTTGCGTAACTGTCATAGAGAATCGCTCTTAATTACAATTAGTCCCAATAAGTGCCAAATGCGGGTACTTACACGTACCAAAATGAGGTACTGCTCAATAGTTTACACTTTTTATGGAAGCTCACAGCACCAATTTTTCATTTTCGACTACGTCTTCTGCACAAGGTACCCTTGTTATTCTGACTTGTTTCTGACGTGCGTTAGCGAGACAGTGTGCATAAAGCGTAATAATAATACCAAATTGTTACGGATGAAAGATAGAAGGCTGCGCAGTTGGATGGTTTACGATTATAATATTACGTGAAATCCCTTTGAGTCGTTCGCAGTTTGGGAGCAGAAGAAGCGGAGAGTGAATTAATGTTTTTTGTACAGTTCCTTGCCATTAATGTTCCCAACCCATAACCCTTACTATAGAAGCAAACAACTGAACCAGAATAATTGTGCCGAAAAGGGATGGGGGATGAAGTACTTTAAAAGAGGACGACAGGTCACTTTATTTCGAGGTTGGTAGTCCCCCAGGGTAATGGTTAGAGAGATGAGGGGGTGACATTCTCCCAGGGGAGCGAGTGAGAAGTGATAATCTTCTCTAGGGGTGATAATCCCCCAGGGTAGTGAAAGAGAGGTGGTAATCCTCTCTAGGGGGTGATAATCCTACCAAGTTATGGAGAAGTGAAAGCTTTGTAGGGGTCCAATCCTCTGGGTTAAAAATAATAGGAGTTTATGAGGGAAAGGATGACCTGTATGGGAGCACTTCATCCCAGACCCAATTTGTTTATTCGACTTCAAAAACCTTGATACAGGTAAACAGGAACTATTGTTATAATACTGTTTGAAGAAAGTCACAATGTAAGATTTGCGAATATTTCCGAGCCTACAACAAACACTGCAAGACTGGTAGGATATGTGTACGAATGTTCCTAGGAATACAAAAGTCACCTAGAGAAATAATACAGAGTCTTGTGTTACCTTCAAACAGTTAACGAGAAAACATTAGCACTGAACAAAGGCAGCATCAGTGGAGACAAATAAAACAGCAAGAGAGGGAGGGAGCGGGGATTTAACAGTAGTTCCCAAGGAAAGCGCAATAATACAGAAACGTTTTCTGCGTCGCTAAGCACGAAATTATGAATGTCACTATGTTCTTTAGTGTGCATGTGACAGCGTGCATGATTGGCTGAGCCCAATCACTCGACAGGAGAATATCACGTACAGGAAGTGAACTGGTTTATTCCTCTCCATATGGATTTAAGGCGGGTCTATGGTTATCACATTAACTTTCATTTATGGGTCTATAAATTAGCTACGAACAATCTTTGCACGAATCTCTGGTCAAACACTTTTCCTTATTTGTTCAACGGACAGAGCAAAGTGCGTAAGGAATACCATTAACGTCTAAAGGTTTTGCCTCACCAGTCAAAGAAAATTGAGTAACTGTTTTGAACCAACGGGCGAAGTTGCATGCTCGTAAGTGGCCCTAACCTACCAACAATATCTTCCGGTTTTAAAGGCCTAAAGGGCTTTTTAACCTTAAAATTATTTAAGTAGCCTCTTCCAGGCGTTCAGATAGTAGGGCGTGGCCGTCAAATGGTAAATCGTGAGGTCTTCTGGTGCCTA